AGACCTCTCCCTAAAACGCAGGGTAATTAGTCTCAGACAGTTCAATGACATATTTGTAGGCTGCGTAGAAATTAAAGCGTCCTGGAATTACTGCCATTTAGACAAACTTTATATTGACTTAACTCTTGGCTATAACTCTTGACAAAATTCAAGCGTCATAAGGCAGAATTATAAAAAGTCTTAAATAAAAATAAATTCTGAAACTATACATAACGTATTTAATAAGAAACTACTGAAAATTCCCTACATCTCCATCGTTGTTGTATAAAGATTTCGAAACTATTTAGCAACTGCTTCTGCTTCTGGTTAAAATTGTTTATAGTATATGTACAATAAAATTTGTTGAAGATTTGTTTGGTTGGTAAAAGGAAAGGGTATTTTCTTCCAGTATATTGTAGGAGCCTTTTTCGTAGTGGTAAGGTAACATATATCACGTGACCGGAAACGTAAATCATTTAAATTTTTCCACAGAGTCGACTAGAACGCCGCCCCTGAGATATCATGTAGTTGGTTGCGTCGTTTTTACTCTTTCTGAATTTGTGAGGTATGTTAATTTTAAAGTTTACTCGCCTTTATGTATTGGTGTAATTTAACCTTCTGATTTAATGTTTCGTGTCCATGTATCAATTGTTTTGTTTTGATGTCACGAATATTGTAGTTAAAGAACTTATAAATTAGTGCCACGTATGTTTTATATGGATAAATTTTCTTCATTTTGGTGGGATTTTTAAACACAGACAAATTTTGGATACATTACACGTGGAAAATACGACTTTTCTCACATCAATACCAATTTACTGCAACCGTTAATTTCAAATTATGTCAATATAGCAAAGCTGCAAAATTAACATGAGTCAGAATAATGACACGTCAGGGAATTCCAGTTGTTATATACATGTTTTTATGTACTGTTGTATTATTTTTTACATCATGGCTTTTGTGAAGAAGTAAAACAATTTCTTTTTCTTCAATTATTACTTTTTATCAAAATGTTAAGTTGACCATATTCTGCATTGTTAACAGTAATTAAACAAGATATATTTACAACATTGGTGTTTAGTGCAAATGTTTTCTATGTATTTTTGATTTATATAACTATGGAATGATCAATTGTTAAAGATTTTCATGATAATTTTATGTACACTCTTCATAGAAATATCAATTCAACCAAAGATGACTTTCATTCAAAAACTATAGTCAATCACTCTGCTTTTTTTTGGAAACAAATTATACAGTTATTCAAATTGAATAATAACTATCGTTTTATCAAATATAAACTTATAAAAATTCGTTCTGGATGTTTTAAAAAAGTAAAACCCTATTTTTCGCCTTACACCAGCAAGGACATACAAGTTTTTGCATAATTCTTGAGCGTCAGCAAGCATTTTCGAAAGCGTAGTAAGTACTGCTAGTTGATGGGGAGGCATCTTTCCTTTCTAATATTTCGTTATCGTGTGTCAATTTCCCACCAATTTCTTGAGAATGAAAAAATGATGCTATTTTGGTTTGACCGCTCGTATCAGTAATTGCCTTGTTCTTTTTATTTGCATCTTTTTTTGCTCGTAAAGCACGTGGTATTGCTCCAAATTTCTACTTATTGAACGAACTGATTTTATTGTTTTACAGAGCAATATTTATATAGTATTCATTACAAATAACAAATATTATCATTGGTCAAATAGTTGTTCCATCTAATATCTAATCTATATATGGTACATAAGGACGTCATATATGACGTCAATAAATGTTTCTTGGGTGTTAACCATTTGGGAACGGATACACTGGTAAACCCAACTATGTACATTCTATTTCCCTAAACGTATTTTTGTTCTTTATGAACATGACTCAACACAAGCGATGAAAAATTCTGCCAGCAAAATTCGACTGTGTAGTTGCCGTTCCCACAAACGCAAAGTTTTATGTTCCTCATAACAAAAACGTTACTAATTTAACATGTAAATTTTTCAAAGTAAACAGTACTTACACATTACATTCTCTGCCTTCAAAATTAATGTTTATTTTGTCCTTAGAAATTAATCAAAATGTTTTATGAAAAACGCGCTAAATTACAGCTGAACTAAAGACACACCAGCTAACAAGACTTCGAATCAGATAAAAGTAGAAGAATCTGTAAGTGGGGAACTTGCATATCGGGAATTAAGATATACGTCTACCATTTGCTCAAAATGTAAAAAGGGGTAACCATCTGACCCCGTGGCCATGGCGCCCCTGGTAAAGTTTGTTTCCAAAAAATTTCTTTGCAGACGTACGCCAGGAAATGACTTTCACCAAAAAGCATTAAACATTTAGACAAATCTCAAGGTAAAATGTCTTTCCATTTTTTCTCTGGGCCTTCTTTACTAATTTTTTGTTCTTTTGATATATTTAAACGTCTTCGATGTCAAAGTGTATGTCTATTTGAAATAAAGCTAAAACAACAATTTTTATGAAAAGGAGGCTTAAAGCCCCCAAAATTGCCCGTATGACATCGTTTTTTGAAATCAACGCCCCAATATTGAGCAAAAAGTCTACTCAAGTAAACTCCCGCGTTGGGGGACGATAACCTTTCTCCGCCTAGTCTATTTTTCTATACGCAGTCTTTACATAAGTTTTAAACTTATATAAACTAAAAATTATAAACTAAACTTGCTTCACTTTTCTTGACGACACGATAGAAAGACCATGGAGGCATACAAGGTATTATTGTTTATGAAAGATTTTAAAAACTTGTCTAACTTCCAGAGAAATGCCTAAATGCAGGATAACTTTAAACACAAATATTTAGAGGGTTGTTTTTAGCTACCACCTTCATTAAACACTTTCATATACAACTGAAAATTTACGAACTGATAATATTTAACAAATTTCAGTTGTCCATAAATTATGGTTAATAAACTATATCCATGTTCATCTTAATTCTTTTATAATCTGTAGATGGAGTCAAGAGAAGAAAGGAATAACTACTACATTCAGAAAATACTTTCAGATGTTGTTACAGAAACTTGTTGATTTATTTATCCAAGAGTGGAACATTTATTACGGAGTATGGGAAAATACAAACGTTAGTGGTCAGAAGTTGTTCAATATTGAAAAAACAAAAAAGAAACCTCATGACAAACATATTCTGTCAAAGTTTAAAGATGGTGACACCAGTAATTGGGATTGTACGACACTATTTGCAGCAATACTGTTTTCCAATTCAATTGGAACAAAAGTTAACCCAAAAGTTAGAACTGCTGTTGATGCACTTCGTATTGTTAGAAACAAATTTACCCATGAATATCATAGAAGAGTATCTGATACCGAATTTGACAAAATGCTTTGTGATATTGAAAAGTCATTTAAAGATCTAGCATTTTCATTCACTGAAATTAATGAAATAAAAAGTGAACGAAACAAATTTAATTCTTTTCAAGAACTTCCTTGCAAATCAAATCACGATGTGGTTAAACGTACAGAGTTACTTAATCAAATAACAGCAGATCTCAATAACTTGCGCAGTACTAACAATAATGAACTAACATATTACTATATTTCTGGTAATCCTGGCAGTGGTAAATCTCAATTAGCTAGACAAATTTGCGAAGAAATGTATAACTCATTTGACTGGGAAAAGAATACGACATTTGTGATGACACTCGAAGGAAAAGATATCGACTCTCTTTTGAAAACTTATGCTGAACTTTATCAACGAGTAAGCAATGATAAAACTGTCATTGAAAATATTCAGAAAGAAGCAAAAAGCAGCGAAGACAAAATCAAAGATTTTCAATTATTGCTGAAACAACAACTAAAATCTTGGCAAACATGGTGGATTGTTGTAGATAACGTGGTTGAACTTCATAAAATTTATCCATTATTACCTCAAGTTGGAGATCATAGTTGGAAAAATGGACAAATTGTAGTAACTGTCCAAAATACAGATGCTATACCACCAGATGGAAGTTTAAATAAACACATTTCAGTTAGTCATGGTATGAACAATGAAGAGTGTCGACAACTACTATCTGTCTTTTCTGATATTTCAAATCACGATGAAAAATATTTAAAGGAATTATCAGAAAAATTAGATCGTCAACCGTTGTTCCTGGCAAATGCTGCTTCCTACGTAGGTAGTGTAAAAAGTGTAAATCCGACATTCACGTGGGAGCAATATTTTAATAAGTTGAATGAAGGAGAGCAACAGAACATAGATGCCAATTTTCAAAAAATAAACTCAGCATACTTAGGAATGAAAACTGTTATGTTAGCAGTACAAAAAAATGCTGAAGAATCCATCTTGTTGGACTATGTTTTTAAACTTTTCTCATTAATATCTTTCGATCCCTTACCACAAGATGTTATAATACATTTTATTAAAAGCATTGATCCACAAATATCTGCAGAAGATGTCTGTCTTCAATTAAAGCATTGTTCTTTATTCCTTCAAACGGAAAACAACGACATCCGCCTGCACAGCGTTGTACACAAAGCCATCATAAATTATTCATCGCAGACCTTTGGCGGTAAACATAACGAAAATAATTCTAAAAAGTCTGCAGCTGATCTTGCCTGTCAAGTTGCTTGGGCACTAAATCAATTTGAAGACAGAGAAGATGAAATCAAAATAATGCCTCATCTAATTAAATTCATAACAAATTCATCATTTCAACATTTCCTAAATAAGTTGATCGATGTAAAATCATCAAAACAAAATCTTGATGAAAGAAATTGGAATCTTGCCAATTATTTTGTAGATGTTTTGGAAAGATTTTACAACTATAAACTTGCAACTAAAGTACTTTATGAAATAACAGAAATTCAAAGTAAAGTGTTATGTGCTGATCATATTGATGTTTCATATTCGTACCACAAGCTGGGTATATTGCTTTGGAAGAATGGAGAATATGAAAATGCTAAAGATTTTATGGAGCGAGCAATGGGAATTCAAACAAAAACATTTGGACCTGACCATGTTAATATTGCGAAAACGTACAGCAATCTGGGTTCGTTTTACAAAGATATGGGAGAGTACGAAAAAGCAAAAGATTTTTGTAAACGAGCGATAGAAATTCAAACAAAAACATTTGGACCTGACCATGTTAATATTGCGAAAACGTACAACAATCTGGGTTCGGTTTACGATAATATAGGAAAGTACGAAAAAGCAAAAGATTTTTATGAACGAGCGATACAAATTGATGTGAAAACATTTGGACATGACCATGTTAATGTTGCGACAACGTACAGCAATCTGGGTTTGGTTTACGAGAAAATGGGAGAGTACGAAAAAGCAAAAGATTTTTATGAACGAGCGATAGAAATTGAAACGAAAACATTTGGTCTTGACCATGTTAATATTGCGACAAGGTACAACAATCTGGGTTCGGTTTACTATAATATGGGAGAGTACGAAAAAGCAAAAGATTTTTATGAACGAGCGATAGAAATTGAAACGAAAACATTTGGTCCTGGCCATGTCAATATTGCGACAAGTACAACAATCTGGGTTGGGTTTACAGAGGTATGGGAGAGTACGAAAAAGCAAAAGATTTTTATGAACGAGCGATGGAAATTCAAACGAAAACATTTGGACCTGACCATGTTAATATTGCGACAACGTACAACAATCTGGGTTCGGTTTACAGAGATATGGGAGAGTACGATAAAGCACAAGATTTTTATGAACGAGCGATAGAAATTGAAACGAAAACATTTGGTCATGACCATGTTAATATTGCGACAAGGTACAACAATCTGGGTTCAGTTTACAATGATATGGGAGAGTACGAAAAAGCAAAAGATTTTTATGAAAGAGCGATTAAAATTCAAACAAAAGCGTTTGGACCTGACCATGTTTATATTGCGACAATGTACAACAATCTGGGTTCGGTTTACAATGATATGGGAGAGTACGAAAACGCAAAAGATTTTTATGAACGAGCGATAGAAATTGAAACGAAAACATTTGGTCCTGACCATGTTAATATTGCGACAAGGTACAACAATCTGGGTTCGGTTTACAATGAGATGGGAGAGTACGAAAAAGCAAAAGATTTTTATGAAAGAGCGATAAAAATTAAAACAAAAGCATTTGGACCTGACCATGTTAATATTGCGTCAATGTACAACAATCTGGGTTTAGTTTACAGTGAAATGGGAGAGTACGAAAAAGCAAAAGATTTTTATGAACAAGCGATGAAAATTCAAACAAAAGCATTTGGAGCTGACCATGTTAATATTGAGATAACGTACAACAATCTGGGTTCGGTTTACAGATATATGGGAGAGTACGATAAAGCACAAGATTTTTATGAACGAGCGATAGAAATTGAAACGAAAACATTTGGTCCTGACCATGTTAATATTGCGACAAGGTACAACAATATGGGTTTGGTTTACAATGATATGGGAGAGTACGAAAAAGCAAAAGATTTTTATGAAAGAGCTATTGAAATTCAAACAAAAGCGTTTGGACCGGACCATGTTAATATAGCGACAACGTACAACAATCTGGGTTCGGTTTACAGAGATATGGGAGAGTACGAAAAAGCAAAAGATTTTTATGAACGAGCGATAGAAATTGAAACGAAAACATTTGGTCCTGACCATGTTAATATTGCGACAACGTACAACAATCTGGGTTCGGTTTACTATAATATGGGAGAGTACGAAAAAGCAAAAGATTTTTATGAACGAGTGATAGAAATTGAAACGAAAACATTTGGTCCTGGCCATGTCAATATTGCGATAAGGTACAACAATCTGGGTTGGGTTTACAGAGGTATGGGAGAGTACGAAAAAGCAAAAGATTTTTATGAACGAGCGATAGAAATTGAAACGAAAACATTTGTTCCTGACCATGTTAATATTGCGACAAGTTACAACAATCTGGGTTCGGTTTACAATAATATGGGAGAGTACGAAAAAGCAAAAGATTTTTATGAAAGAGCGATGAAAATTCAAACAAAAGCATTTGGACCTGACCATGTTAATATTGCGATAACGTACAACAATCTGGGTTCGGTTTACGAAGATATGGGAGAGTACGAAAAAGCAAAACATTTTTATGAACGAGCGATGAAAATTCAAACAAAAGCATTTGGACCTGACCATGTTAGTATTGCGATAATGTACAGCAATCTGAGTTTAGTTTACTATAATATGGGAGAGTACGAAAAAGCAAAAGATTTTTATGAACGAGCGATAGAAATTAAAACGAAAGCATTTGGACCTAAACATGTACTGCAATAATATACAATAATCTTCATTTGGTTATAAACAAACTATAGATATTGAAACTGAAGCATTTTGACTTCTATTTATCTTTTATTTGCTAGAAGCTAAAATACTCCTGTCTTTGACAAAACAAGGAAGGAGATAGAAAAAGACGAAATGAATTTGTAGCTCATTTTCAATGAAGAAGAAAATCAATTTCTCTTTTCATTTTAGGTATGTCTTCTTTCACTAAAGCTGATTAGAAACAGTTGTTTTGTAGATTTCTTTTAACAAAGGTTCAAATAACAACAGTTGTATATTTATAAAAGGTATTAATATATTATTGACACTATTCAAACATTTGTATTTTCAAGTTTTCAACTGTCATTTATTTACTGGAACAGTTTTTATTAAAAAACTTGTATTGAACTATTAAAGTATATTTATGAGTTTAGTTTGCAATACCTAGCTTTTCAGAAGTTGTGAAGATTCTTAAAATGAATGTTGTTGGGTCATTTTCTTGTATAATGAGAGTAAATACTGATCTTACAGCAACCATGATCTTGTAATATCCCTTTTTGAAATGCTGAAAAGCCCACAAGATTTGCTTTACTATATAAGTATGAATACAGTCTTTTCTATATTTATTTCTATTCATTCATCTAATTTACAAAATATACTTTCTATTTATGAGAATTGTAGTTGTTTGAAAAGGACAAGCAGTTATTGTTATTTGATTTAATCATAGTTGATTTGAGGACTAACACCTTAATTGTCGTGACAATGTTTGTTTTTTTTTTAGTTTGGAGGAAATATTTATTTAAAGGGGAACTCCACCCAAAAATAATGTTGGTCTTAAAAGTTCCATTTTTATGCAAAGGTTACTATATTTTGAAATTTTTACATCAGCTATTTTATTTTTGACAAAATCACGTCTTCAAGTGCGCTATTTGAGCTGTTTTGAGGCTTAGCAGCGTGGGCACAGAAAGCGTCAGCGGAAATTATTTTGACGTCATATCGTCAAACCGATTTGGAGTTGAGTTTACAACAAAGTAAAATAATAACGCACAGCCCAGCACAAAAACAAAACAATCGCTTATAATGGCTTTTTTGGAAGAACCTCGGCCTAATTCACCAATCGATAGTGAAATGGAAGACAATCCAACAAACAATATTCGGCCATATCAGTTTGAGCCCGAATGGCCGGCTGATGAACACGAAGAAGCTCACCAGTTTGAGGATAACGAAGAACAGGAATTTTTGTATATTGACGATGAACCTCGGTGCGACAATCTTAAATGGTGGGTAGTAAAATGTTATATTATTCTAGACCATTGTTTCTATCTCAAAAGTACGTTTTCAGTTTTTGAAGTTGACCACGTCCACACACACATAATACTTTTGATTTTAATGTTTTTATTGTAAGATACAATTTTTATTGAAGTTTTGACATTTACTTTTTAAGATCCTTTCTTTTAACATATTCAGGTGTCAATGTTGTAACTGCCAAATAATGGATAATAACGAGGAATGTTTATGCTGCAAAGAGATTTCCAATATTTGTGACAAAAATTTAGAGGCAGTAGAAACGAATGAGACCACCGAAGTCCCTTTGTGCATTACACAACATCCTGGTTATGAGCCTGTTTGTCTTAACAGGTGGGTTTTACAAACAGCTTGCTACCAGTACAAGCAGCAATATGAGGTAGCATATGATGGGCCCGAAGACAAACTGTACCGCCATATTGCATATAGACAGTTGGCAAGATGGTGCTGGGGTGTCTTGGGTAGAGAAGTGAGAGTCATCTTGCTATCATGTGCAGTTACTCGCATTAGAGAAACATTTCCTCCACCTGGCCTTGCAGAAGAATTTCAATTTGAAGGCTTTCATTATGTTGATGAATGAAGTATTTTATTATGATATAGGTATACCCATTACAATTACTTTGTATGTCAATATTAAAGTGGCATAGCCAGCTCATTTATAGGTCATGCTATGCACATTTATTATTATTAATATATTACAAAAAAAAACAGATTTACAAAGAAATGATTATAAATGTGGCTTGGCTATTACACTGGTTATAATATAACTATAATTAATTACATGAATAGTTTGTGTAATGCAGTGGTGAAACTAGCTATAGCAAAAGGTTTTGCTATGTTAATATTTAAGAATGAACATTTTTAAAGTAGTACAAAAGTTGTCTTCACTGATTCAACGTCATATTATATGGGTATGGCAAAACCTATTGCCATAGCTAACATCACCACTGACATTTTATGCAAATTTAGACTGATGTTCCTTTACAAGTACTTCTTTCCTGAGTGGACATGATTTAGGAATGTTCTTTGGAAGATTCTCGCCATGATGTACAAGTTCAATCTCCTCAGTTTTGCATGCATTCACAACCTCCGCAAGTAGTTTATCAATGTACTGGTACTCTTTCTTTTCTTTCATTGCTTTTACAACCCATTGCTTCTGTGTTTTAGCAAAAATCATTTTGTAACGGTCTTGCCCTTTGTTTGCCCCTGACTTAAGGACTGCTTTATCACGTTTAATATTGTTGTTGTGATCTAATGCTGCTAACTGAGTGCGAGCTACCATCCCAGGAAATGAAAAATGCTCTTGCTTTTGGCAGTATTTCAGTAAAAGGGAATGGTAAACATCCAACTCTCCTGTGTGACAAAACTCAGATAGCTTCCGCAGGTCTTTTAGAAGCCTCTTGTCACATATCACCTTCTCTGCAGCGATATATGCTTGTGAAGTAGGAGATAACCACTTCTTCTGCTTTGTTTCTTTTTCTGTTAATTGTTGGTGGCAACATTGATGAAAATATGTGTTCCCCTTCCAGAAATGCTTGTTGGAAATGTGGTTAAGGACAGACTTCCATTTTTCCACCAATTCTTCTGCATTATTGTTACAATTTGCAGAGCACCACAAAGATGATTAGAAATGGACTTAATCCAATGGGTCAAGTCATCATTTCCCTTAATGTTAGCCTTCTTTGTTAGTTTTTTTTGTGACAGATTTAGACAAATGCCATACATCATATTGGTGATCAATATGAGGGTGTTTGTTTTTCATAGCACTGGCAATCGAAACATGTCTATCTGTTGTTATTCTCTTAACAGGAACTAGCTTTTCAACTTCAGACAGACATCTTTCAAATGCTTCTTTCTCCATAGCATTAGAAGAACTGAATTCAGTACTTTGCACAACATTAAAAGTTACTATATTACCAGAGTTAGCCATCATTGTATAAGTACCATACTTGGCATTATGCCCTGGGCTATCACATCGACCATCACCATTCACATTAAGACTGCTGTTAGTTGCTTCAGGCTCAACCACTGAGAAAACATTTGTACTTGTGCAGGAACATTGTTCTAAAATATTTGAAAGCTGAAAATAGAAAAAATAGAAATATTTAGAATATACTTTAGGCTATAACTTTTTCTTGATTAAAATTTAACAAGAAATGCTTTTACTAACT